CCTAGGCTTGAACAGGGGTAGGAAAGTTGACAAAGGGTTTTGAGAAGAATGCCTTGGATACTGGAACAGAGAACACTTGAAGGGGGGTAGAATAATATTAAAAGGGAAACATAGTCAGGACAAGTCCTTGGAGGAGATTGGAAACAGTAAAGGCATTCGGATGACTTGTAATTTGGTTGAGCCAGTGGAACGTGATTTGAGGATTGCAGTGATGTGGTCTCATTTATGGGTGTGGGTGAAGGGTCTTGTGACTAAAACATTCTGGATCATATGTAGTTTAAAGATGAGGAATCTGAGAAGGCTGTCGAGGAGACAATTTCAGGAGGCAAAAGATGAAAAAGAGACAGGGGAGGGTCTCATCAGCAGATCTGGCAAGCAAATGGCAGACGTGGGCGATGTTGCCAGCAGTGAGAGCAGAAAGTCCAACAAATGTTGAGAGATTTTGGCAGAGAATGAGAGCTTTGGATTAACGGCAGCCCTAACACCATGTACTCTCTTTGGCTGGCATGATAGTAGAGTTTGCGAGGGTGCACACTTCAACTCAGTCTTTCTCCCAATGAGGAAGACTTCAGTTTTGAGAATTCCTGGCTGGAAAATGTTTGAACTAGACCAAGATTACAGCATGTCAAGGCAGGTTAAAAGAGTTCAGAGTGAGGTAGACTTTTTAAAATCAAGTTTCTAAGCACAGTGTGAAAAGCCTATGATGCAAAGTGGTCAACAATAGAGAGCGCTAATGATAAATAGCAGATTGAAAACACATTTCTTGAATTATACAAGGTGTGAGGAACTTTGGTAAAAAAATGCTTTGTGTGGGAAGAAATAGAAATCTATAATTTAATGGGTTTTTTACTTATTTCAATCCAGAGCTGTATTGAAAAATACATTCCTTGTCTAAATGGGCTATTATCTGGTGATAATGGTTTACTACTGGTGATAGTAAAACAAATGTGGCAAACAGTGAAATCAATGGCAATTTCTAATTTAAACTTTGAAATGTTGCTGTGAAATTATAATTTTAATGTAATTGCAAAAAATAAAGTGTATAAAAAAAGTGCAATGCACAGAAGAAAGACATTCCCACACTTTTAGTATGAACATATGTTCTGTTTTCGCTGCCTCTTGGCCGATTACCTATAAGCAAGACAAATTTAGGTTGGGCACCCAATCAGCTATAAAGAAACAGATATATACGTAAACATGACCATATGCAATATTTACAAAGTATGTCACGGAACTTCTATATTTAAAATCATTGATAATGAGAGTCAGTGCAATGTGAATATCATATCCTGAGGGTAGAGTTGTAGTTTACGGCACTGCTGACAATGTAGAATTCATCCCATTGCTGCATGTATGGTTAAGTCATGTGCAGGTGTCCCTGAAGAAATAATAACAATATAAGCACATTCTTAGTTTGCAGTCCTAAACGACAAGAGTAATTAAATTACAAAAAATGCTTTAATATAAACTATTAAACCGTATACATGAATTGCATCATTAATCCACCACATTTTTAAATGCAATGTGTTTCTGATTTGCTTCTTTGACCACTTATGCTGTAGCCCGTGCACGAGAACATTAATCCATGACACTAAATCTACAAATTTGAAACTGTTAAACCTTTAATTATTTAATTATACAATCTTATATTTATCTAAATACATATTTCATTATCATCATTAACCTTTGCTCTTTGTTGTATAGTCATTAATATAAGCAGATAAATTGGAATAATGTATAATAATGCATAACTACTATATGTAAATTAACAACTAATTGGCTTATGTGCCAGGAGACAGCCTCCTAAGAGTCAACTCAGCCCTCATTTTCACCAAACTTACATTTTTTCCAGGACTACTGTTATGTGGTGAAGCAGCCATACCTATTGTGCACTGCGCCCACACACTCTCTCTATCCCCAAGATTTTCCTGTTCTCAACTCTCACCTACCTAGCCACCCCCAACACGAAATCCTGACCCACTTCAATTTTTTTGGCCTGATGGATCTAAATCAAAGGTTAGGGTTTAGCACTTTCCCACTCAGCCTAACGGTTGGATGGGAAAGCTGTAAAGCTCTTATCGGCGGAACCTTTACCTTTCTATTAGATCTGTATGAGATGGAGGGTTTGACTCGTTCCCATGCAGCATCATGCATAATCATGTTCTGGGGGGGCGGGGGGGGGGGGGTCGAATGGCACAGGAGCTAAAGCCAGGCGACAGGCAATAGTCCAAGTGAAGATCGAGTTCAAATTCATACTGCTCACGTACAGTAGAGAGGGCTTGATTTAAATTTATGGCTTAGGAAAATTTTAATATTACAGTGTGCAATGCTATTCTTCTAGGTCACCGAAAATACATTATGCAAGGCACCAATCTATGGCATGTCCTGATACTATAATTTATTGCAGTCATTTAAAAATTGCTAACTTCTTGTTTATGCGTTGATTTATACGTGTTGGGACACTGCCGCGGTGCCTCGATGTGCACACTTGACTTGCAATCCAGAGGTCGCCGATTCCATTCGGTTTCGTGGCACTTGAAACAAAGTCTCTTAATTCTTCTCTACTGCCTCTGTCCACCCAGCCCTATATGGCCGCAATGGCGAGATGTTAACTACCTCACCTGGTTTACAGGAAATTGTGGGTTCGATCTCGACCCTAATGCCTGCTGTATATTTGGAGTTTGCATGTTTCTCTTCACGTGGTCGCGTGGATTTTTCTCCGGGTCCTCCGGTGTTTTGCTCCACATTGAAAAACTTTCGCCTAGAGTATTCAGCTGTTCTACGTTTCCACGTGATAAGCCACTTCGTTGGACTATCATTTGTGGCCAGTTTGCTTCTGAAAAATAGCTATATAGCTCCGTGGGCCTAAGCTGGTAAAATAAAAAAAAATAAAAGCTCTGTTTTAAATAAATGGGTTCACCAACAGTTAGTGAATCAGCAGGTTGCATGTTCTGGGGTAGAGTGTGGGTACTCCCTTTACCTTATACTTGTTACATATAAGGCAGATATGGTAAAACCAGGCACAATCATAAAAAATGCCACGTTAGCCTTCAAATACAGATAATATCCTTCACAGTCATGTAAATAAGGGTGTATTCAAGAGTCATATCAAATACAGAAATACATTTTCATTTCAGAATATCTCATGTTGTTAAATTATGATTTAGAATTATTTATCAATGGGAAGTGTGGATGGATTACGCATCATAAATGTATCAGGATGATTGGCACTTCTAGAGTTGTTTGAAGAATGCATTAAATACAAAAATAGAGAGTTGTGCATTAAAAGCAGATAAAATCATTATGCATTTTGACAATTAGACTTTTTTTCTGAAAGATGCATCTGAACACAGTTTAATGACATCAAGGTGAGATTTAAAGTGCATGGAAAATGTAATTGTTGGAATATCCTCATACCATTCACGCCATTTTTAAAATACCCATGTTCGTGGTGATTGATCACTGGAAACCGTAGTGATCACACACTCGCTCATTTTACAGAGCAATTGAAAAAAAATCAAGCTGCCTCGTTACTCCTTAAGGGAAGCCTTTTTTTATTATTAATTTCATTTTCTCAAAATGTATAAATTATATGACATTTCATGGCTCCGATTCTCAAGAACCACAAGAGTTCCACTTTTGTTCGAAGTTTTCTGACGAAAAGTTCTGTGCACTATCCCTGTTTTTGGAATTTCTGTTGACAATTGATAGCAGATATAAACACTGCCGCAAAAGTGCAATCGGGTGGGAAGACAGGTGGATAACGAGTTCCAGTGGTTAGCAGGATCGGTGCAGCAATTAGGCAAGGAAATGCAGTTTCCGTGACAACACATAGAACGTTGACGTGAGTAGATTCACGGATGAGGGAACTATTTTGAGATATTTCAGAAGAGCACCGATCGTAAACGTACCAGCAGAAGACGCGGAGAGGCATCAGAGTAGAAAAGAAGTGAAGCATTAAAGGAGGCAGACAAGTCAAGAGTATTTATACGTAGAACTGCTTTTTGTTTGATTCTGTCAAGTGCTGTTGGTATGGACTGTTCCACTGTTCCAAATGTGGAAGCAGTACTCTCTCATGGGGTAGACAGATGCTTTGTAAAGTGTTAGTTGTTGTCGCATTCTGATTTCATGAAATTGGGACAATAACTCAGAAACTTAAGATATCAAGGGTGTTGTAGTCTTGCATCCTGAGACTCGGGAAGGGTCTGTTATTCCATTCAACATTTAGGTCCTTCATTCATAAGAGTCCTTTATTCTGGCTGTATGAGGAAAAGTAACTTGGAATTCTAGATAATTCATGGTATTGCTCTGAGTGTAGAAATATAGATCACAAATGTGTATTTCATTTCATAATATAGTACCGTATCCCATGACTAACACAGCAGTATTATTTGGAAAATTACCCTCGTGTTGCATTTTTTAGTAATATTGTCCGCATTGTGCAGTCAATACATGTAAGTAATGTTTACTGATGGGGCATTATGGAATATTACTATTTGCCCTATGTCTTTTGTTCCAGAGACTTTTTAGCAAACATTAAGATAACTATTTTAGTTCATTTGACACTTGAAGGGAATTAAACAAAATGCAAAGAGAGCTGGGCCAAAAAAGTAACACAACAGAACATTTCTTTAAAGAGATAATAGGAAGTAGAACTTACCAAATATTCACCATCCTTGGCTGTGAATGAGATTGGCCTGTGAATCACACGTTAATTTATTTTGCCCTTTGCAGGCAAAAGGTGTGGGTACCTCACATTAGAGCTTGCAGTATGTATAAGCCAGTGCAATAGATGTGTTATATTATTAGGCATGCTGCTTTAGCGAAGCAACACAGAATGAGTATATCAACGGTGTGTTCTAGATTTGAAGCTTTCGTGACTGCAAGGATTCATATTCTTAAGTTTTTTCGGTACCTACGTGACTTTACCGAAAAAACTTAAGAATATCAACGGTGTGTGTGTAATGTGCAAACTCTTTCCTGTTCCCGTCCTCTTTCAGAACGTGGCCACCAAAGACTTTGCCACCCCCTCTGCGATCCGCACCGTCATCGCTGCCGATTTTGATAATGATCAAGAGCTGGAGGTCTTCTTCAACAACATTGCGTACAACGACAATGCTCCGAACCGCGTCTTCAGGTACCGCAGACTCGTTGTGAAAACGAGGGGCCATGTGTAAATATGAGAGACCAAAACCCTTGTGAACGGAGGGGGGGGGGGCATTTCTTCTTCGGTTGAAGACTGTGGTTAAGGGACTGTCATACGGCACTTGATCAAACCGGTTAAAATATTCACAGACACGTTAATTTCTTGCCGCGTGTGAGAATGAATACGCTGCCGTAAATTAGTTGGAATGTCATCTCGGCTGGAACAACGAGCAAATTTCTTCTTATGCAACCTATATGGCCAGCCACAGAAAAGTGTAAAATGACCTTCAAGAGGGAAGGTCAGACTCATGTAGCCATGTTGGCCATCATTTGCACATGTTCTAGTGAAATGACGGCTGTTTTTTACGTGAAAAAATACAGCCCAAATCTTGTAATTTCGAAATCATATAGGGACTATTTGGCACTTCAGAGCCAATTCCATCACTGCAGTGCTCATTCCACACTGAGCGGGATTTGGGCTGGGTTACGGTGGCGCTAACGGCAGCAGAATCCCGGTGAACATGCCGTGAGGGCATGGCTTGTATGGGAAGCTCTTGAGGCTCTTACCGAGAGTGGCGACCCATTCCACCTCCCACAATATGGGAATAAGTCAGTTTTACAGTAAAGAAGCTAGGAAAATAACTACCCTGGGTTTTTGTGTTGTGGGCTCTATTGTGTCAGCCACTTATTAAGGGTCTGCAAGATTAATGTTACTCAGTGTCATCTGTTTCACACAATGCCATTGGTTATTTCGTTATCTCTTCTATTAAATCTCCCCGCCTCTGTCTACTCAGCAGTATGAATGGGTCCATCGGCCCATTCATACTGCAGTCGGGTAAATTGTAAGTGTATGAGGCCTTCTGCCAGGAGTGGCATTAGAAAGTGATTACAGGGCTGCACCTTCACCTTGTTATCTGTTGTAGGCCTCTTTTAGCAAGATGAAGCCTTCTGAGGAGGCTGCCTGTGGGTAGCAAAGTTAATTTCAAACAAGCATGGGATTGGCACTTGTTTTTGCCGTTGGTGGGAATTCCACATTCCACTGGAAAGAGCCCGTTCTTGTATGTGACAACTGCTCTTCTCTTTCTTCAGATATGTACTCATTTCATCAACCTTTTGAGTAATTAAACGATTGGAAAAGAATGAGGAAAAATATCATAGAACACAGCATGAACATATAATAAAATAATACGTGTATGTTCTCGAATCCACATGTTCCTCTTTCTGTCTCAGTCTAATTCCCGTCGTGCATCTCTCCAAGCTTCTTTAAAAAAATTAGTTTTGAACACTTTCCATTACGTGCTCACTCTCCACATTCTCCATTTAATGTCCACATTTATTAGCCCTATGTCATAGCAGGTAATACGATTCATTAAACAAAATAGTACGTTTGAGGATAAACATGTTGCCAACCATTACAGAAACCATGCATATGCATGCCGTCTCTTCCTTGTTTATTGAATGCCAAAATCCACACAAGAAGATATATTCCCTGAATAAATCTTAGCGTGTAAAGGATGCCATTCGGAATTTGACATTTTAATTGTAATAAAATTGTTGTCGTTAGTGTCACACCACTCTCGGTAAAATAATGCTGAGAGCAACAGATGGAATATGCAGTAAATGTGGTACACACGAGTCCTTTAAATTCTGCAATGCCAATTGTCATGGTTTCCAGGTAGCTGAGAGGATTTAATGACCTTAAACTATCTTGTGGACAACCTTTCTCTATTTCTGTCTTCCAACCACACTCTGATTGATGGCACGCTTACCATCTTTGCTGCACATTTGAAAGGATAATGCATATTTTTATCTGAAGCATTGTAGATGTTGTTCAATTGTATTATTTGATACAGCGTTTTGTTTTGGGCTGTAAACATTTTTCCAGGTGATGGATATCCTCATTGAATAAAGAAAATATGAGCTTCCATTCTTTGTAGGAAATATTATGCATTTTGGAATGGAGGGAATGAGTAATTGATGCTGGACGCATACGAATTAACATGACGAGGGACATAATGCTACTGCAGACATGTATAGATTGTAATTAATGCACAGGTAATTATTTACTTGTACAACTTTAACTGAAGAGTCGAGTACAAACTTCGGTATTAGTGAAAGTGTCGAGATTTGATTCCATTTTAATTAAAAAAAGAAGAGTGTTTAAATTCCTAACACATGACTAATGAATGTTCTTCTATCAGCTTCAGAGATATAGAGGTCATGGGAATGGTCGGCGCTGGGCACATTACAGCATGATCCCGCCGATCGGTGTTTTTGCAGAGAAAATGTATTCCGAGATTAAAATCATGCCAAGATAGTTTTTTTTAATGTCAATCGGTAAAGTTGAAAACAGAAATGATTACCACTACATATTTGCATCCTTGTGTGCACATCAACATAAATATGATGCATGTGCGTTATGTACAATGCATTATTTACAAAACGTGTTCTGAATGAATGTGGTGAAAAACACATTAGAAATATTTCCCTTCGCATTTCCGACTTCAGCATATTTTGCATGACTTCGGGGAAATGTTAAACATCTTTCAAATTTTCCAGCAAAAAATACACGTTTCTTCACCCAAATGAGAAAAAACTAAATGTAAAAAATATAGATGAAACAGTATAATTAAAATTGCACTCTCAATCTTGTGCCTATCCGTTATTGTGTTGTAATGTGCACTTGCTTGCTTTGAGAATTCCAATTTACGTGACCACATTAAACTAAACCTAGTCATCAGGTATTGTTGCTCTTTGGCTTTTACATTGTACATCAGCATTACGTCCACAACACAGCAATCGAGGACGTACATTTTTGTTTCATAAGCAAATAATAAATGAGATATTATTTATCATTTGTGCATGATTAAAAAGAAACCTTGCACTGGCAAGGGACATCAAGCACAATAAAATAACCCAGCGATGACTAAGCATACATCTTTCGAACAACTAAGAAATGTACCAACACGGGCGATTGCAAGCAAGAAAATATTTGAGAGTTTATCTAGCATTATGGCTTAAATGTCTAACCATTCATTGTGGCAATTGTGGCAAATATGCAAGTTGTATTATCTATATATATTTTTTTAATACACTCCAATACTACATTCGTATAGCAAGTGCATTCATATTTCTCTCTTTTCCCTATAACGTTATTCTAATTGTGCTCTCAGCATCGCGCCGTGAGATGAAATGCCCCACTGCAGCTCGCACAGAGCGGTGTGCGTTTGTGTGTCAGTGAAAGCCCCGCAGACAGAGCCCCCCCCCCCCTCAGTACTGCTTCTGAAATCCCTTCAAGTGACATTTGTGTCCACACTCTTAAGGCACGTGTGCTCTACTAAAGAGAGTCCACCAGATTCCACTCAAACGTATATTTTAACCCTCCGCTATGGAATTGAAGCACATATATGATGATATTTTTAGCAGACCAATAAAATCTCTTCACTTTAGAACTCACTCAGATTCAAATGCAGTGGTGCTCAGGGCTCTGACTGCTGATCCGCCTGACCAGAATCAACTAAATTCTGACTATGGTACTCAGAGTTCTGTTTGTGTAATCCAGGAAACCCAGTTAACATTCCTGTCCCTGCATAATACCAGTGGTACATGGTATCTGAAATTAGCATGAGCCTCCCCTATATTGACTCAGTGTTATGCAATTCCTTGGTGCGGTTATCACGGTGGGCTATGTACGGTGCAAAATAAGTTCCGCATGCGTAAATACATACAAAATAAATGTAAAGTATGTGTCTACTCGGCGTGTATAGAGAGCGGTGGTATTGAGGTTTGCACAAACCAAACCTGCCAACTCAGGCTACGTTTTTGTCAAACTATATCCGATAATAAGGTTACATAGGATATATCTAAAAAATAAGACTAGGCTTAAGATGTTCAAACACCAAATATATATCTTTTGCAAGGAATCACGTATGTATTAACCACCCGTACTTGTGGTGAACATGCAAACAAACATGCGCTGATAATATATGCATTGTCTTTGAAACTGATTGAACTACACCAGAGACAGCCTTCTTTATGGCCTAGTCTCACCATTGTCAGACCAGAGAACGCCAAAAGGTGAATCGTACAAAGCCAATGCACGTATCAGAAGATTCATAGCTTGGGTTTAACAGCTATATCATGGGACCTTTTTTGCCAGTATCAACGTATGATGAATAAGAATGTCATCCTTTCCAGCAATAACACCAAATAGATACCTTTGGGGAAAAGGTATCTTAACACCTGTTTTATTGCCACATAAGGTAAAAACCTATTCTTTTTTTCCCACGTTGATATTGGCAAAAAAGGTCCCACGATATGGAACATGTATATTTACTGTGACATCAAATATGTGAACCCTGCAGCTTGCCCATATTTAAAAGAAGGGTGCAATCTCACTCCTATGGTGTTTGTGTATTGTTTGTTTGTATTATTTGTTTGTATTGTTTGTGCGTTGTTGTTGTACCTTGGTGACACGCCCCTACTGTACATCTGTGAACATGAGCTTCATACAGCTCATTGGATTCCTCCAGGATAAAAATAAAGATTTTGAAATGCGGGATGGGCTGCGACGTCCATCACTTATTTGCACTAATGACTGTATTTTGTCCTGCCCCATCCAACCAACATTTTTGTTGACATGGCTGTAATGACGTGGAAGGGGGGACGATCCTTCAACAGGAGGAGGGGAGGTTCTTCCTCCTCCAGCCCCCCAACGTTATGGGGCTGCTGTATGTAAGTGTGTACTTGCGTAACTGATTTTAGTTGTGTATAAATGTGTGATTATGTGCACAAATGCAAAAAGGTGTCAGTTTTGTTGCCAGATAGAAGGGTAAAGAACCAATTATCATATTTTTACTGGCAAATGAGGTCCCCATAGTGTAGATGCTTGCCCCGAGCTCTCATACTCTGATGGTGCATTGTCCTTGAGTTGTGCGCCTTTTGGCGTCATCTGGTCCAACCCATATGAGACTAGGCTCGAAGGAAAGCTGT